CGCACTGTTAGGGCTTCCCTCCAGCACTCGACTTGCAATTATCACTATATACTAGTGGCAAAAGCATTAGACGCGGAATGTGTTACGGCTCAGACACCCCTACACTGCCAACGAGCAACAGATGCCCTTCCTCAACACTGCTTTACACTCTGCACTCGCACCAATACCCAAGCAGTGCAATGTACCGTTTTTGCGTGCTGTCTTCGCTTGCAAACGCAAACGCGGCGAGTGAGTGTGTGCATGAGGAGCTCTGCTCTGAGGGAAACACTTTTTTCTCTGTCTTTTCACTTAGTAAATATGCCCAGCCTGTGGCTCAGTGGCTGGGTTTTACTTAGCCAAGCATACAATCGTTAAGCACACACCTTCCTCGTTCTGGAAACCCTTGATGCATATGGCCATCGTTGCCTCAAAGAGTTTCAGCAAAAGTTTCTTGCATTCCCCGTTTGGTTCGTACAGGCAAAACAGATCCGCTTCAATGTTGAGATTTTCCTGTGAGTCGGGAGAGCTGCCAGCGGAGGATGAGTTGCTGCCTCCAAACAGTGAGCCCACAATGTTAAACAGCTTGTTGATTAAACCATTTGCAGCACTAGATTCTTCTGTCTGGGAGTTTCGACTCAATCCTTGGTCGTGACTGTGAATATCAAAGAGAACAATGCTCTCGTCCAGCTCGCTGGATTGCTGTAGATGCTGCAGGAACGAGGATGAATCCCTTGTGTAGTTATCAATCACTGAGGCGTAATCCAGAGAAGATTCCGCATAGTCCGAACTAGCGGCCGTCGTAGTCGACACTGACAGGGCGCTGTTAATGCCAAGCGGCGGCAGCTGGTAGACATGCGAAACGAGCGTTTCCAATGAACTTGAACCGCAGATGCCGATGCTGGGTCCCTGCACAGCTGTGGGTGTGACTGTGGGCGTGGTGGCTGTGGTTGATGCTGCTCCAGTTGCGGTTTTGGGCAGCATCAGGAAGCAGCCGAGGGCATTGTGGTTGAGCTTGAGTATATCGAAAATGTTTTTATCGCCACGGCGCAGCTTCGTCTCCGACTGTAGCTGCTGCTCATCCGTTGGTAGCTCCGGCACATCTTCATCCTCGTTGTCCAGCATTTCCACGGGTATCGAATAGATCTTGGCAAACTCATTGTAGAACAATTGACTCGTCTTTAGCAGCTCAAAGTTCAGCGTCCATTGTAGGGCCGTTATGTAGAGAATATCCGCAGGCTTGTGCCCCGCCAGCTGTGGCAGCAGATCGGGCGACTCATCCAGCCAGAATTTGCTGCGCGAATGCTTAGAGCACTTCTGGAGGAGTGCCTGAAACAGCTGCGACGCACGATCGCTGCTATTCAGCTGCAGTTGAATCAATCTTCGACTAAGCGTCACCTGTTCCTGGCTGTTCTCACCCAGAAAAGCAATATTATCGATGCCCACTTTGATCAGATCGCAAACGCCACGCTGGAGTTCGGGTATGGCCAACAGATCCTGCATGTAGCGTATGTTCTCCTCGTTGTAGAAGGCCTTCACCAGCCGTATGTCACTCAGGTACATCACAAATATGCTCAGGCACTCGTGCAGTGCCCGATAGTTGTCCAGCTTGCTGGGTATCTGCAGTGGCGCCAGCTTTGCCGAGTCCCTGCGCAACTTGTCCTCGCTCTCGCTGCGCTCTTTGTACTGTCGGAAGATGGGCAGAGCTACCTCAGCCAGTATGCCAGCAGCCAGATCGTAGGACAGAAGGTGTGCAATATGCTTCAAGTGTTTTAGAAACAGCAGCATCGATGGTGTGTTCAGCAGTCGCTTGTAGTTCTCCCTGTAGATGCTGAGCAATTCCAGATGAAAGCTCGGGGATTTGAGCTTCTCTTCGCAGCTAGGACATCCCTGAGGGGCACGCTTCACAAAGATTGTGTCCAGCACGTTGTAGTGGAGGAATTTGTATGCACATTTCTGATACGTGCTGGACAGCCGTGTGGCCAACTGCAGGCAGGTGGCATAGTTCTTGGCATTGTAGTGGCAACAGCAGCTCCCAGTGCGCAGCAGACTCCTCACGCTATGTTCCTGCAGTTCAGAGTCCAGCAATGGCAGCAGCTGGTAGAGCTTACCCTGGAAGTAACAACTCAGCGAGCTGCTGCCCAGGCAATGCAATTGACTGCTGCGCTGTCGCTTGTGGCGGTGCTGTTGCTGCTGCTGCTGCTTGGTCAGTGCCGTGGAGGTGCTGCTCTCCATGAGGCACTGCTGATGCTGCTCCTGCCTCGATAGATTGTCGGTCAGACGCAGCAGCATTTTGTAGATATGCAGAAAGATGGCCGTCGTCTTGGCCGCCGCCTCTTGCAGCACATTGAAGCAGGCGTCAAAGTTTCGCACATCGATTTGATTGAGCTCCCTGACCCCATTGTCGACGAGATTGTGCAGTGTGCCAAACATGATGAAGAGCACGCCATGCGCCAGCGTGGGGCATCTTTGATTGGCCCTCAGGGCATACAGCAGCTGGCTGAAGTTGCTGTTGAAGTCGTGGACATTCGGCTGCTGGTGCTCGTGGACATAAAAGTTGTTTACGCAATGGGCAATCAGTTGCAGCAGCTCGAATTTGATGATCTCATCGTTGTCAAGGCTGGAGCAGTCGTCGTCGTTCTCGTCGTTGTTGTCTTCAAATTCTGTGCTGGCTGCGGCGCACAGATGACCGAGTGCAAAATTGTGGACTGTGACACTCAGCTGCGACTCTTGCTCGGCATCCACGCAGCGTGTCAGCAGTTGGATGAGCAGCAAGGCCAGTTCATCGCTGCTCTTCGAGGCCCTTTTAAAGTCCTCAAGGTTTCTGATTACTTCACTGGATATGTGATTCCATAATTGACGTTGCTGTGGCGGTTGCTGCTGCTGTTGCTGGCGGCGTGCCGCTGCCTTTTTGCTCTGTGAGTTGAGGTAGAAGCTGCTAATGAACTGAGCGATGCCAGTGAGCGGTTGCAGCGGCTGATTTGTGGCACTCCATTTGCAATTGGGAAACAGATTGATGCACAGCTGACAGAGGCTCTTCTGTGAGGCAATGTGCTGCAGTGCAAAAGTGATTAAATTAGCATAAAAATACATCAATTCTGTACCCAACTTGCCTTGATATCCACGCGCAACAGGAAGGCCAGCAAATGATGACCCAACTTATCGGTGAGAAATGTACGCAGGGCGAGAATCTTATTGCAATCACTGGGTGTGCTGAGTATAAGCTAAAAAGAAAGTGATCAACATTAATGGAGGGACACAATTGATAGTGGCTATCGCTGCGAAAACGAACCTGCGCTAGATTATGCTGCTTACGCAGCTGCTTAATGCACTTGTCCTGCTGCTCTGGCTCTGTCTCTGACTCTGCCTCTTGGTCTGGGCTGCTACCCTGCGATCGCTTGGCTTCGCTGATGATTTGATAGACTTGCTCTAGGAGATAGGAGCAAAGCTCCTCTGGCATTAGATTAAAGTGGCTGCAAAGAGAATAAGAAAACCATAAAAGAAAGGGTTGACAGCACACTTATTGTCCTTACGGTACCTATTGAGCCACGCTTCTTCCAGGGTTCGATCATCCAGGAACTGAAAGTTGTACAGCAACAGCCAGAGCCAGTGGTCCTTTCATTAAATTGAAGCAAAAAACAAACGATAAGAAGAATTCTTCATGCTCTTGCCATATCAATGGAGGAGTACAAACCTTGACACTCGCCTCTTCGTGCTCTGCAGCGTGCAGATAATGACTCCAGAGTCTGATCAATGTATCCAGCAGCAACTGGCGGTGTTCCATCTCCTGTGCCAGCTGCTGCTGCGGTTCCAGCTCCTCCTCGGCCATGGTAAATCACAGATAATGGCAAACGTGCCTCCCAACTGGCAGCTGACGAGTTCTTTTCGCTTCACCAAGTCCTCCAGCATCGGGCAATGTTGTGGACGCACTGAGCGTTGAGACCAAACTGAACGGAGGCGATCGAAGGAGAACGCCAGCTGTAATGTAATTATTAAAGCGAATCATTAAGCAAGCAAGCAAAATCAGTGTCTTCTGTGTGCGTGCGCCAGCAGGAGGAGCAAGAGGCGACGATGCGTGATTATTTTGCCCAGAGGCGGCCCAGGCCGAGCCAGGCCGGTGATGCTGATAATTTGGAGTGGAAACTTTAGTTGTTTAGCTGCTGATGCTACTGCTGGGGCAGGAAAACTATTAAGATTGCTATTTATAGAGCGGGGCAGCAGTAGCATTGCAGTGGCCAGTGGCATTGCATTCTGTTGCTAAGCCGGCAAAAGATAGTTGTGGGTTGTGGGAGAAGGGGGAGAGCAGGGCAACTGGTGGGTGGGTGCAATGCCTCTGCCGCTCTAATGCTTTTGCTTCTGGTGCCTGCTACAAACCGAGTAAACAGCTGGCAATGATGCGTGTCTGTAACGGCCACTGGTTGCGGCGATAAGAGGGCAAACTACTACACAAACAGGAGGAGATCGCATCGATGCGAGCTCAAATGACTTGATTGATTTCTGCAAGGGAGAAGGTTTCTCCCCGCTGCGATCCATTCGCATTGCTCTGCGTTATCGCCACAAAAAGACAGACACAGTGGGATTACACGGCCAAAGAGAGGTTCGCTTCATTTCTCTACTGCGCAGAACCGAATTATACCTCTCGACTGATCATCAAATATGAATCCACTGCATCTAGTATATGGCAATCACATAAAAAATGAATTTTCATAGCTCACCAGAAAATGAAACGAAAGGGAAATAATAGAAACGAGGCAACAAGAACAAGCAGTTTTAGGACGCCATTTTAGCTGGTTTGGTTTGTCTTTCTTGCGTGTATCTCTCCGCTTCGAGTGTTTCTTAGGCGCCAGCGAGTACGTTTGTTATTGTTTAAACAATTCGTGCTGTTGTTGTTTATTATGTTGTTGTTTTTTAATATGACCCTCAGAAATGTAGTAGGAATATCCCAAAAACCACATTGCAACCGTCATGCAGTGCACAGCAGGTTGGCAGGGCCGTTATCGATAACTCATATTCAACATCCCTGCGGATGCTGCTGCTTTTTCCAGACCAAAGGTTTTTGGTTTTTCCATCAAAATTTGTTGATTTAAAAACGACAAAAACTAAATCCCTAACCAGTTGTGTCATTGTAGTGTAAAGGTGCATTAATTTGCCAGTGAAATATAAAATGAATTAAATTCTCAGCTCTGCAAAAGAAATCGCAATCGTCACACCTTTTCGTCTGCCCACACACCAACACCAGCGGAGTACCCAAGGCAAAGACTAATACAACTGCAAGAAAAGGCAACAAACACAAGTGAACTAATCGAACGATCGAAAGTCTACGACTGCGAGTGCCAAGGTACTTTTAAGTACTTTTAAATCGACTCTTACGCTCTGTGCATTTCTGCGTGAAAGTAGCATAGCATTTGGAAATATTACGCAAGTATTATTTCTGGTTATATCTGTTGAATAATCATGGCTCAGTAAAAATGAATCCTCAACGAGAATACTTTGCCCAACGCACTCCGTGTGGAGACAAAAGCAAGACGCAATTTTCTGCCGATTGGCAGGTATCTAATACTATCGCCCCCACTGCCCCCAATTCCTCTTACTTCTACGAGCAAAATGGACAACAACAACAAGAAGCAACAACATGCCAGAACGAGCAAATCGTCTGGTGAAACCCAACGCAAGTCCAGTGGTGAGTAAAGAACGGGATATGTCGATATCTAATGAGAGAGATGGCTATCTAGCCATCATGTGTGCTGTCTCTCTTGCTGATTTACCAAACAACCTGTCTATTCTCTTCTCAAACAGAATTGCATGCCAACACCAAACAGCGCAATAGCCGCAGACGCGAGCAGCTTCCAACGCCACGCAACGACCAGCAACAGCAGCAGCCGAGGAACCCCAAACAGCAGCAACAACCTGCTAAACTTCGTCCCAATGTGGACAAGCGTCCGAGGGCGCGAGGCAGCGGCGGCAGTGCTGCTGGCTACTATGGCCCCACCGACGGAGCTTACGATGGCCCTGAATCCGGGCATCAAGACGGGGCTTACGGCGGCACCGGACTAGCAACCACCAGTAGCGGCTACCCGCGTAGCGACTTTGACTATGAACTAAACTCTGTCTATGCGCAGGGCAGCAAGAAGCAGAATCTGAACCATCTGCTAAACTTTCATTGTGTGCCTCGCGACGCGTCGGACACTGGAAATGGTCATGGACGCGGCGTCGGTAACCATTACCAACATCACAATGCTGGGCGCAAGCCACGCTACAACAAGGAGCAGTTCCTGCAGGCCAACTTTCAGTTTGTCATTCGCTCGGGCGCCAAGGCTCAGGTGAATGGGTCGCCGGACACTTTGATCGACTGGAACTTCATTGAGCAAATCAACATCCAGACCACGGAGGAACCGCAGTGCCCCATCTGTCTGTATCCCCCAGTGGCTGCCAAGCTCACGCGCTGCGGCCATGCCTACTGCTGGCCCTGCCTCTTGCACTATCTCTCGCTGAGCGACAAGACCTGGCGCAAGTGCCCCATCTGCTATGATGCCATCCACGCTGGCGATCTGAAGAGCTGCACCATCGAACAGCAGCACGAGATGAATGTGGGAGATCGCATAACCTTCCAGCTGATGCGTCGTCGCAAGGGCTGCATGTACATCGAGCGTTCCGGCGTTGGGGTAGGACTAGGGGAATTTATCGAACGTTTTCCCCTGCTCAGTGCCGGTGACGAGGCCAAGCGATACTCAAAGTTTCTGATTGCCAAGCGTGCGGATGTGGCGGCCATCATTGAAAGAGAGCGACGCGAACTATTGGCAGAGTCGGATGTATCCTGCCCGGAGGATATATTCACCCAGCAGGCACTGCTAATGCTGAACGAGCGTCTCGAGAAGCTGGGCCTCAAAGAGGATGAGGAGTCGCCGCTGGAGGAGCAGCCACCGCCATCACCAGCAGCCCTGAGTCAGGAGAGCGAAACTAAAATTGATATTGACAAACCGGACGATGCCTCCATTTCATCGGGCGAGGCTTCTAGCAGCATTGGCAGCGCCCACAGTGGCAGCAAATATTATTACTTCTACCAGTCAAACGATGGACAAAACATCTACTTGCATCCCCTGAATGTGAAGATGCTGCAGGCCTGCTATGGCACGCTGGATCAGGGTCCACTGGTGATTGAGTCGCTGATTCTGCAGAAGGAGCAGCACTCCATGGATGAGGAGCATCGCCGGAAGTTCACTTGTTTGGGCCACCTGCCCCTCACTTGTCAGTTTTCTGTTGTGGAAGTGGAACTTCAACCACCAGTCGTCTCTGGGGGCATACTCAAGTTGTTTAAGGGTAAGTCCTCACTGTTTGGTGGCTTAACGCAAGATTTAACATGTTCCCTCATCCTCAGAGGATATTTTGCATCGTAAGAAGGAACGTCAGCGTCGCGATCGTGAAGAACGCAAACGGGAGCAGCACATCAATGAGATCAACGATCGTCAAATGGGCAAACTGATTGCCAGTGCTGCAAACCTGAATCTTGAGTCCTCCCATGAGTTTCCCACTGTAAGATTTCATATCCTTTCCTTTCATTTTCTTGTTAATTCATCGTTTACTTTGCCTCTGCAGTGTGGCTTTGAGGAGGCTTTGCCATCGCCCAGCGGTGCAGCGCCAATGATTAACAGGCAGGAGAGTCATGCAGCCAGTCCCAAGCAGGAGCTGTGGCCCACCATCGGCAGTGGCTCGCCAGTCAGCAGCGGTGGCGGCGGCGCTATAGCATCTGTGGGTGCCTGGGGACGCTCGGCTCCTCCTCCAGCCCCAAGGGCCATGCCAACGATGAGGAGCGATGACGACCAAGACCAGCGCTCTGTGGGCCACTGGGGTCTGGGTGAGCTGCTTGTCGGGGCTTTGGATCAGCAGAAGCAGCAGCAGCCGCGTGGTGGCAAGCCAAGCAAGAAGGCCAAGGCCAAGAAAATGGTTCCACTGTTTGCCATGGGCATGAACAGAGCGCCATGAAAGAAGCTAAAATGAGCGAAAGAAATGAATGTACGACGCTTTTCTGCTACTGAACACTTCAACGTTATTTCAAATCAACGATTGATATTTGAACTATAATTTAATCCAACATTTTATCCATATGCATAACCATTTACATTTAATCCAATAAAAGCAGCAAGCACACACGTACTAGAAATCGAGTGTAGAAATAATTTCGTTAGCCCCTGGATAACATTTCTCATTCACAGCCGGTTGAAGCTATTTTTAAACATTTTTAGGCTTTAATAAATCGTATCCCTGTGGTGGGGTTCTCGTGGAGCCCATTTCTACTTGTGGGTAGCTGGTGGAACGGTTCAGATTGGCCAGCTGAACCGCAGCAGAGCCATGTCTGCGTGGAGCAATGCCACTGTCACTCTCGGCCGCCGAATGGGTCTCTTCATATTCGTCGTTGGAGTCGCTGCCGTCAGGGGAATGCATTGCTGTCGGATCATCGATATTAATTGATGCCGTGGAACTCCAGGCACTCATTATTTTGCCCTTTGACTCGTTCCAGAACGAGTGCAGACGATCACTTCCAAAGGCCTGTAGGAACGCATCGATAAACTCGCGCGACTTCTCCTCCCACTTGGCAATGATGTCGACCTTTACACGCTTGCCGCGATCCTTCAGTTCATCCATTTTATTCTGCAGCCGGAACTTCTTTTCTGAGAGGAAGGAAACGTTCAGCTCCTTGGCGGAGTAGCCGCGTGCCAGATTGCGGCGCACATAGACATCGTAATCCTTGACGATGCGAGCCACAACGTCCGAAGTGGACACACCCTCAGTGCGTTCGGTGGCCACAAACATGCCGCGTGCCTTGAGCGGAGCATAAATATCATCACAGCCACCAGCGCCATATGGAATGTCATCGTGTGCCACAAAATCTATTTTGTGTTCAGTGAGAAAATCATCTGTGAGTGTCCACGGTGCATTTGGAACAACCTGTGAGGACAGAGGAGAGGTTTAAGGTCTTCTTCCTTGTACCATTTTTTGGAACGCACCTCATCCACATAGCGGCAATGGCGAACTGCCTCGTAGCGCTCAAATCCATTCATCACTGTGCGACCTTTCATTTTCAGTGTCAGCTCATCGTTGCACACTCCGACAATTAAATAGACGTTGGGAAAGATGTTCTTGGCCTGCATCAGCTGCCTGGCATGGCCCTGATGGAACAGATCGTAGATGCCATCGGCATAGACGCGCACTCGACGCTTCGACTGTCCGGAGTTTGCCATCTCGTAGGTGATGCGCTGAGTGTAATCGCAGGCATTCAGCTCCTCCAAGGCCTGCTCATCGTTGGCAAAGGGACACGGCTTGCAATAGGGCTAGAAACCGTATAAAAATGATTGGAAAATGGTTACCTTTGGGTGCTCGCTCTTTCGCTTACAAATTTATCAAAGTTCATGTCATATAGGGGCAACGTCGGGAATGGCGATTGAAAGGAGAACGGCGACTCAGAATCCGTCGAGTCCACATTCGCCAGCAATTTATCCATCTGGAACTCATAGGAAGGTGTCGAACGTCCAGATCCATGCTCCGATGACGATGGAGAGGCTTCCTCCTCAATCAGTTTATCCATTATTTGGTTTTTTTAAGCAGAAATGTAACTATGCAGAACTGCAGCGAACTTGAACTGCTCGTGATGCTTCCAAATGGGTGACTGATTATATAAAATCGTTTCTTTTCCACACAGCAAATGCTCGGCACACTCTGATGGGGATTGCCAGAGCGTCGGCTCCAGGTTCCGAGTGCTGTGTGTTGCCCACAAATTGCGCAGCGCCTATCAAAATAAATTGGCGGCGAAGCCAATTGAGGCTCAGGAGGCAGGCACACGACTGGAGACCCATTCTTAGGGTCTGTGTCGTCTACAAAGATCTCTGTCATCTCGCTCAATTGCCATAAATTGAGGCGCAAACAAATAGGAAGTGGCTCGGTCGCCTGACTAGTGGCACGGGGGTACATATCAGACGATACATATTTATGGGCATATGCATATAGATAAATCACAAAGCCATTTAACAAATCAGTGAACCAGAAAACCAATCAAAGACTTTTGTTTCATCATCGCCATTTGTAAAGATTTTCATAATTATATGAAGACGGGAGAATGAATACAATACTAAAAAAAATCGGAAGCGATAGGTGTACAGAGATGCAACCAATATAGACACAGTTAAAACTAATATTGAATTTGTACATAAAGTATTCAAATTACCAAAACCATAAGATATACTTTAACATTGTCCGCTTGCAAGATTTCAGGGACTTGTCCGGGTCTAAATATACCCTCAATAATTAGATCTATATATAATTGTTTGTGTTGCAAAGTTTTTCTTTCGATTCAAGGTTTTATTTTCAAAAAATATTTAACAAAGCATTTGCAATAATTCCGATATTGCCATGTGGTTGCATCATGTTACTATTTTTTGTATGTGTTTTTAATTGCGTTTTGTTTTGGTGTTCTCTATGATGTTGGTGTTTTTTCTTTGTGGTTTAACTTATAATTATAGTGTATGCGAAATAATTTAATATAAATATTTCTAGATATTTCCGGTATCTCCTACTGTTCTTCGCTACTGCTTGCTGCTCGCTCAATCTCTGTCGCTGAGTTGCTTAATACAAAAATGAGTCTTTTCCGAATTGGACTATGTTTTTCCAATAATGTAAGCCCCATATACATTTTGCGAGTCGCGGCATTTAGGAATTGGTGAATGGGTGTGTGTATCGTGCTGTGCGCCTTCACTCCATGTGGCTTAAATTAGCTAAAGGATCTGATGGGTGGGTATAATGGGTTGAGAGTGAGGAGGAATAGCCGAGAGTGATAGCGAGTGAAATCTAAAGACTAATTGGATTACAGATACCATTTAGAGCTAGGTGTAAGTAGAGGCTGCTGCTGGATGAGCCTGCGAGGAGGGACGTTTTCCCTCTCGGTTCCCATTTAGAGATGGGAAGAGAGAGGGAAAAAAGTTCAGGCTAGTTCCGAAAATCTAAAATCATTCGCCTCTATTGGCAGAGCGTCGCTCAAACTCCACTTCTTGCTCCACGGCCTCTGTCTGATCATCCGTCTGATCATTATCATCATCATCATCGTCGTCATCGTCCTCGTAGGTGTCCTGGTAGCTGCGACGTGCCAGGGCGGGTCGCTTCTTATGCTTGCCAATGAAGGAACTACAGTTCGCTCCACTGAAGTCCGCCGCCAGCTCCAAATACTCATCGCTGGACTCTGTTTCATCATCGTCGCCCTCGAGTTCGTCGCCATTGACCGATCCTGAGGGACTGCCGGGCGGACTCAGGGCCTGTATCAGCTTTCCCTTTGACTCGTTCCACAGATGGTTCAGACGCTCGCGTCCAAAGAGAAGCAGAAACGTGTCGATAAACTCGCGCGACTTCTCCTCCCACTTGGTGATGATGTCGCCCTTCACTTTGGTCAGCTCCCGCTTGCCCCGTGACTTCAGTTCGTCCATTTTATTCTGCAGCCGGAACTTCTTCTCGGAGAGGAAGGAAACGTTTAGCTCCTTGGCGGAGTAGCCGCGTGCCAGATTCCGGCGCACATATAAATCGTAGTCCTTTACGATCCGCGCCACAATGTCCGAGGTGGACACGCCCTCAGTGCGTTCGGTGGCCACAAACATGCCGCGTGCCTTCAGTGGCCCGTAGATATCGTCCATGCCTTGGGTTTCATACGGAATGTCGTCATGGGCAACGAAATCTATTTTGTTGTCCGCAATAAACGAATCGGACAGTGTCCAGGGAGCATTCTGAACAATCTGCGGGGCGAAAAGGGTTGGGTTATCCAAGGGTTGAATCGACCCGCTTGCGCTGAGCACTCACCTCATCCACATAACGACAATGACGCACACCCTCGTACCGCTCAAAGCCATTCATAACAGTGCGTCCCTTCATGCGATGCGTTAGCTCGTCGTTGCACACTCCGACAATAAGATAGACGTTGGGAAAGATGTTCTTGGCCTGCATCAGCTGCCTGGCATGGCCCTGATGAAACAGATCATAGATGCCATCGGCATAGACGCGCACCCGACGATTCGTCTGGCCGGATCGGGCCATTTGGTAGGTGATACGATGGTTGTAGTCACAGCGATCACGCTCCACCATGGCCTCCTCGTCGCAGGAAAATGGGGCCGGCTTGCAAATGGTCTATAAAAAGAAAGAACATGTTATTGCTGACTTCGATTCTACCGCGTGTCCCACTGCTTACCGCAAAATCAGATGTGCCGCTAAAGGACTGCTGCGATGTGGATGCAGCTATGACGGGAGGCGCCTGTGCCTGTGGCACGTATTTACGCTTCACGCCGCTGAGATAATCCGCTGTGGACGTAGCGGCGGGCAGGGTGTCCTCGGCGGCGGCAGCCTCACCGTCATCGTCCGGTTCGCACTGTGAGATGGTGCGCGTGCAGTCCCTGAGTGTGGTGGCTGAGGCGGTGGGCTCTGTGGCGCCATCCACGACGACACTCTCCAGCTGGCCATTGGACTTGGCTTTGGCGGGCGATCGAGGACTGGGGCTTGTTGTGCGCTGATCTTTGCCATCCACCACAATGATGGTGGGCGACGTTGATAGTGAGGTGGAGACAGAGGCAGAGGCGGGCATGGCGATTGCCGTCTCGTAGGTTCGTTTCCGTGTGGTCAGTGTCGAGGTGATCAGGGGCGTGGCCGGCGGAGAGGTAGCTGCCTGTGATGTGTTAATTGTGTTGGTGTTGGCGAGTATCGATGAGGTGGCCATCGCAGCGAATGTTGTGGAGCGGCAGTTTTGAACGATTTCTGTAAAAACACTTGTGGGTGGATCGGAGGAGGCGTTCACTGTTCTCTGTTGTGCGCGTGGAGTAGGAGATTCACGTGTGTCCAACTAAAAACATAAGATGAGAAACGGTTAAAAGTCATACAGGTAATTAGTTCTGCTGGCAGAACAACACGTGACGTCGCATTTCTCCCGTTGCTGCGCAATTGTGGCGGTTGCGGCACCGTACACCATGGCTGAATCAATTTATTTTTAATTGCCAAACCGAATGATTTCGATTTGCCACGCGCTCATCGAACCACTGAAATTCCGCAGAAATCAGCAGCAACAGAAATAAATCACAACTAAGGAAAGAACAACCACAAACGCATTATTGGCACGTACACTCAACAACCAGGCGGGGCAAAGAAGAAACGGCAACTAAAACAACGGCACTGTGAAAGCGCAGCAGCCGCTCGGGTGGGTGATAGGGAGAGGGAGATGGAACTAGTTCCGCCATTAGCGCATTAGCTGCACTTCATTGCTGCTGCTGCTGCTGCTGCTGCTGCTCTGATGCTGCAATCTTTCATTTTACATAAACAAATCGAAATGGAAAGATTCGAATGTGAGTCAGACAAGGCAGGCACGATGACCCAATCCAATCGTGGTGCCTAGACGACTCTCTCTCTGCTCTCCCATTAGTCAGCTGTTCGCTGCGTGCTCCAAATTAATTTCGGCCATTCCATGGTGAATTATTTATATGGTAAGGCTACATCTATTATTGGATCCCAATTTTGCACTTAGCTATGAGAATGTAAACTTTATGTGCGCGAGTCTCTCGAATTCACCTCACTTTCTTATTAATTTACCTTGGAGCCGTCAAACGTTTTTCTCACACTCATGTTTATTCAACATAGAGACACATCAGACATACATACATATACATGCATACTTTTATCTATTGCCGCTTACGTCTGAATATTTCTTTGGCATTGAGGTGATCTTATTACGTCAGAGGTAGTACCAAGCCGTGTAGTAGTATTCCATTCTTATCTGTAAACCAACAGTCCGTTTGATGATAACCACAAAATCCATAAGAGACCCCCAAATGGAAGTTTCTTGGAATCGTACTTTTGCCCGCTCAAGGTCTGCCTTTGGCTCTGATTCACCTGGAACCGGCTTTGCGGCGGCAGCACAGTTCAAGTTCAATTCTTCGCTTTGGAGACAGACAGACGGAGAGAAAGAGAAGAGAGAGAGCAGTCCTCTCTGTGCTCTGATGTAAGCTTTATTTTAACCATCGAAAAATAAGAGCATGTACAAACATGTTAATTCTGTTGCCAGGCAAAAAGAAAAGTGCTGGGCAATCTTCAGCTGTGATCAACGTCACAAGGCAGTGTCGAAGTCGTACGATCGAAACTCTTGTCGGCAGAGCAGAGGATGACGGTGCGCCGTAAGTAAAGTGAATCAAACGTAAACAAACGCAAAAGAGAGAAAGCGATGAGTGTGCGTGCTAAAGTGAGTGGGTCCACAAGAGTGTGTTTAGGTGGGTGGATGTTTGAGTGTGTTGGACCAGTAAAAACGATTTGCAAATTGACAGGCGGTGGTGTGCACTAAAATAATCGAGCGATAAGATTGTTACTGTTATTCTTAACTTATCTGGAAACGGGACTTCCGCTGCACTCGCAATGGGGGAGGACAAATGGGTCCGATACGAACACGATAAATGGAATTTAGCGGAAACCGTCCATTTGTTTCTATATACACATGCTTTTTAATAAGAATCGCTAACACCACCCAAACCAAAACCCCCCTCCCAAGTCGACAGTTCAGCCGGATAAGGCAAGTGAAGCAAAAATTCGAGAGAATCCAAAGTTCATTATCATCACGCGCTCTCCAGCTAGCGCTCAGGTTAAGCCCCCATCTTCCAACGTGGCATATTAACAGGCCAAAGAACTCTGGGGAATCTGAGAGAACAGCGAAAAAATGGTTAGTTGGCATTTTGGTGGAGTTTTCCTTTTGCTTGCTCATTCGCATTGGCCAAAAACAAAAGGTTGAAAGTACAGTTCCAGCGAATTGAACCTTCCCTCCCCCTTCCTCCTTCTACTGCTACTCTATTGCGATCTCTACGCGCTTCGAGTGTTTTTTCCCCATTGATGATAAGCCACCACTCATCACTCGACTATGTATAGAATGAACATGGATTGTATATATTAGTATATTTGCATTGATAACCTTCGGATGGGTGGTAGGCTTTATTATCAATGACACGATGAGTAGGTACTCCAAAAAAGATTGGTTGACGTCAACTGTGATTTGGATGCTGCTCGAAGTACGGTACGTGAGAATGTGGGGAAAATATGCACAGGAAATGGGAACGTTAAGTTTGCACGTTTGTCCAAAATTTAAACTGTACGTTCAGTAATGCTTTGATAATTATTTTTCATATCGGTGCTCCCTGACATGTCCATAGATAATCTTATCAAACATTTTAATGGCACAATTCTCTCTTTATACTTTGATTCATAAAGAACACATATACATTCACATGCCGTCTCTCTTTCGTACACGCAGTCCCTCTCTCTCTCTCTCCACGTAAAAGCTTCTTCTACGCATGATATACAAATTTCATTGAGTAAAGCTAAAACAGCTGACTGATTGTGCGTGTGATCACCCGCAATCGCTCTCTTTCTTTCCTTCCCTCTCTCTGTTATGTTTCATACACTGCACATACACACACCCGCGACCCAGTGATGTTTCCACGGTAAAACATAATCGTCGCTTGGGAAAGTGGAGCACGAGCACAGTGTTTGGCAGCCATGACTAATGCTTGCCCCATTCTTTCGCAACTGTGCAAAATGGTAAGGTTTATTATTAACCCCCATTATGGTGGTGGTGTGGTGATGATGCCACTGCCACCAGGGGAAATCGTACGATCGCAGTGCAAAGTTCGGTGAGTGGTGAATGGTGGTGACGCGTCAGCGTGATGTGTTGCATGGGAAGTCACGGAAAAAAGGGGGGCAGACTGTGCAAGCTACCAAAAAGTCATACGACCGACAAAGCAGCGGTATTTTCCTCAAGAGTGACGTGGCGGGTAGTTTCATGTTGGCAGTGGCGTCGTATTGCCGGCCGCAAAACAAAATCGATAAGCGTCAGCAGCAGCTGTTCGGGGAGGGGGAATACACAGAGAAACGTCTGGGGCGAGACGATTATGTAAACAAGCCTTGAAGGCGCTGGCGGGTGCCCGATCCAAATCAAATCGCAGACGCACATTTCGAAGAAACCAAGAATAATCTCCCAACGAGCTGACAATTGGTGCGGAGAGAGCGAAGAAAGCGAGAGAGGGAGAGCGAGGGACAGGCCGAGACTCACGTCACAGGAGCATGCAAGAGCATGTCGTCAGCACAGTGTAAATATTTTCTGGTAACATATTTTTCTCATTCCCGTGTCCAATCCAATCAAAGGAAAGGTTTCACTCACTTAACTTACTTTCTTCCAAATTGAAACGTTGATTTTGTGTATTTGTTTTGTATTTGCCAAAAATCGATTTGCGCTCTGATTTTCTGTCGAAACCCGGCTGGAATGACGCACCACTTATTTGTTGCACCGCTATGTTACGTGTAGCACTTAATAACTATTACTAGTTTATTTATTAGAGCACCCGCAGTTGTTATTGTTAATGCCGCGCAGCGAAGTGCGCATTGCTGACCAGTGTGACCGCGGACTTATCTACCGCACACTAAAATAAACCCTTGCATGTCAAAATATACTGTAAATATACCGTGAGTCTTAAATTGTTTTCCTCGATTTTGATGTTTTATTTAATATTATCAGCTAGTTAGTAGTCTCCGCGCTAAAACAATGATTTGATCCAATTTATCAATCAATTATTCACAAGATAGTCGAGTTTTCGAAATATCCTGTAAAGTATTACCACTGGAACAATAATTTAATCCGATTGGAGAATAAATAATCGCATTTATTGGCTTGTATAACTTATGACTTTATGACATTACTACTACACATTTTATACATACCAATGACATACTTAGCAGAATAGCCTAATAACGGAATGTTTGAAGAATTCAGTGCCTATTTAAGATAAAATATAAATCTAATTAAAGACATATGAAAATGAACAGGAACACTTTAACGCCTTTGTCTGCCATTATGGTTATTTGGCTTTATAAATATAAGCATTTTATTGTATTCACTTTGATTTGAGTGTTATTGTTATTTTAAATAAATAACTTTAACAGTTAACAGAAGAAAATTGTAATTCTCACGCAAACTTCTATGTTAACTTAACAGGTGTCTCTTACTGGTATTTTCTTACAGCTTGATACACGCACACAGGCAAACTAAAGGACAACGGTTCTCCGTCACAATTTTTTTTTAAACCCGGTACTCGAAGAGTAAATAGGGTATATTTCATTTATGGGGAATAACGGATGTATGTATGTAACACACAAAAGGAAACGTTTCCGAACCCATAAAGTACATATATTCTTGATCAGCATCAAGCATTAGCAGTGGCTAAACCCACCCCGTCCCGCAGCTTATATATGCTTATATGGCCTCTGCCTCTGCAGTGCCTCTGCAGTCTGTAATTACGGTACTGAAGGTAATTATTGGTTTTATTAAATATATCTTTTTTTTTGGCAATCACAATATCTCGAACAGCTCTGTCAAATTGAATTCCTTGAACAGGTTGTTTGGTTGGATATTTAGCGACTTGCCAACCCCATAATATTATTAAACATAAACAAAATGTGTTTAATTGCTGTCTTTTGCATATTTATTGACTTTCAGTGTCTTAGGGTAATAAATTCAAAAATTTTTTGGCTAAATAATGTGGTAAACACAAAGCTAGAATGAATACAAACTAAAAACACCTTTGGGTATATCTTTTTTGCACTTGTTTAAAAAATATAATATATGATGTATAAAAAAACAAAAGTTCTTTGGTAAAAGAAAAACTAAATCAAAAGCTACCGTTGAAATTTCACTTTTTCGCACACAAAAAACACGAGCATAAAACATAGCAAAATTGACCAAGAATATCTTATTTAGTAGCTACACACATACGCACACAATTACATGCGCTTCATATATAGATCGATATACATACATATGTATAATATGTAGATTTTTGAACAACATTTTAGAATTTGTTAGTGGTAAACGTCTTAATTGCACAGTAAATGTTCTTAAAAATTCGATAAGGAATTTCTTTCGACTTTGGCTTAAATTTTCATGGTTTCGTCCCGTTTCTCGTTCCTTTCTTTTGGTTTTCTCTCAATGTTTGACTTGTTATTTGTTGGCAAGCATAAGTGGAGTTGAATGGCAAGGATGTGTAAAGGGATGAGTATATAATGGGCAAAGTTTCCTTAGATAAACCTAACAACGAATTCGAGTATTTCCGAGATTCCTTAAGAGCATATGTATATGAGTATTCTCTAGGTCACTGGTTGCAAGAAATGTCCGTGGGTTAAAGTGAGTATTGGTTCGGGTCTGATCTGATCGGATCGGATCAGCATTGGGATGGAATGCGTATGCCCTGGGTAATGGAGTTCTCCAGCACAATGTGGCAGTCGTCAAGCGGCTCCAGTATCTGAATGAGAAAGGTGAGAAGATTTCGCCGTCGCAGGAAACTCTCCTCGTCGTACATCTCCTGGGTGACTTTGGTAAGGGCCATCGGCTTGATGAGGCGCGTCAGCAGATGTTCTCGCAGGCTCAGGCACATCAGCAGCTGGAACTTGCCATCTTTGCCCAGCGCCGTGCCGTTGATCTCGTCCATTAGCTGCACATACAAGCGCCAGATGCTGGAGATTTCACGACGCTGTAGACTATTGCCACCGCCGCTGCTGTTGCTAAAGGAGGAGTCCATGCTGGAGGCAGAGTCCTCCAGCTCCAGCTGTAGATTCTGCTCAAACAGTTCCTTGACTTTGGCTAAAATGGGAAGCAGAAGATTAGGAGCTGTACTTCACAGATATCTCCGCTCTTTGGCTTACTAAAATAGTCCCAGATGTAAAGATTTCTGCCAAAGAAGCGCGCAGAACGAAAGCCACAAAGGAAAACCTGCTCCAGGCATTTGACCAGGCCATCATCGCCGCACAGGAGATTCGTTAGAGTGCCCACATCCCGGTCCCTGCTGGGCTTGTAGTGCCACTTGACAATAACATTCACGCAATTGCCCAACTGATGCTGGATCTCGGATGGTGCCAGCGATTCCTGTCGCTGCACGCTGGGACTGCGTGTGCGTGGCGGCGTGCGTGTGTCCGGCACTAGCTCGGCGTTCTTCACACTCGTCGAGATGCGCTGGCCCACCAGCAAACGCTCTGTGGAGTCATCATCCACGCCACGGCCCAGCCATCGGCCACAGGGGAATCTGTAAAGGTGGGAAATAAAACATTAAAATATGGGTCAACCAATGGGTGGGGTTTGTTTCTGGCTCACTTGTAGGTGTGTCCGGTGACCTCATTACGCATCACCACCTGCTCAACGAGCCACTTGTGGCTGGGCCCCGAATTGTCGTGACCAATGCGCATGGTTGTCAGGAGGCCAAGGTTCTTGTACTGCCCGAGAAAAAGGATTATTTATATACTCAGGGTAAGTATTTTCGTTTCTGGGTCAATGCTTACATGAAATATAAACTCCAGTGAGCCCTTGGGCACTGGCACACGCTGTGTCTCATTCATGGTGCCCGAGACCATGATCCAAACATTGCTGGAGGTGTGATAGGAGCCATACTTGCGGGAGGGGAAGATGACAACGCGATAGGGCAGCTCTGTGGGGCAACAGAGAAGGGTAAGAGATGGGTAAGGCAGCAGCTAGCTTGGACCTACTCGTTGTGGGATAGATGTTGGTAAAGCTGAAGTAATCCACGGTATTGAGGGTCAGCAGATGGTACAAGAACTGCTCCTTCTCCTCCTCGCAGCGCAGAAAGGCCGAGCGTTTGTACAGCGACCTCAGCAGGCTCTCATCCGAGAGCAGCGTGCGAAAGTGTCTCGACAGCAGCTTCTTCTCCAGCGAGAGACGCACCCAGGCACGGGTGTAGCCAATGTGCGTCTTAATATCAGCCATGGCCAGCACGTTTCTAAGCGATTTACATGGGATAATGTCAGTCAATAAAGTGGAATGCGAAGCAGCCATAAAAACTACTTACTTCACATCGAACTCTAGAGATTCTGGCAGCGGACACAGCTGCTCCAGGCCCACAAATTTATTGCGATCACGCGAACGACTGCGATTGGGGCTGGGCGGACCATCAAAGTCCGTTTGGAATGTAGAAAGATCTGAGGGAACAGAGGGTTATCCATAAAGGAAACGAATCCTTTGGATTGGTCTGTCAAACTTACAATCCATTCGCTTGCGCATTGCATTCCATGCCAGTGCTGGCGATGCTGTGGCTATGGCCATCTTATTGCTTGGACTGCTGGACACTGGCGGCGTCTGCTCCACGCCTGAACTGTCGCCGCCAATGCGTGCCTCTTGCATTTCAATGTAGGCCTGCAAATGCGCCCACAGTGCGGACTTTCCTTGCTTATTCTGCAGTCCATGCGACCAGATCTTCTCCAGCAGATCGCACATGCTGGCTATCAGAGTATTCTCCTCGATGCCATCGCCCTTGAGGCCCAAAGCCACCGCCTCATTGCCCATTTTCTCCAGCAGCATGCGTTTGGTCTTCGATTTGATGTCCTAAAAGAGGAACAAAAGAGAATGGTTTTAGGGGGAATCAATAGTCATGGATCATGCCTGTATTTACCTTTAAAAGACGCTCCACAAATGTCCAGTTTGCTTGGGCAATCAATGCTGGACTCACATCCGCTGTGGTTAGATTGGCAGACAAACGATTGATGGCATTGTTGCTGGAGGGCTTCTGGTCCAACGAGATCTCCCTGGCCCTCCACTTATTCCCATTCTTAACCCGCCGCAAGCTGTTGCCTCTGTTTTTTTTCCAGAGGGTTTTTGCGTTAGAGGATTGGTTGGTTGTTTTTTGGTTTAATTTTGAATGTTAGCCGCGAATGAATGTTGAATTTTAGTTGAAATTTTGACCAGAAACATTATAAAGGTGGATTAGTGGGGGAAGATGGTTCGAAATAGACAGGTTTATGATCTATTGGGAGTGCCAAAGCATGCAAAAAACGAATAAAATACAAATGGAAATGGTTACAAAGTGAAGGAAGAAACATAAAACGAAACAAACAAAACAAAGTCTCAATTAAGGCTTTGAGTAATGCAAAATTTATTGTTAAGTGATAGAAAAAATCAAACAAATAAATTACTAAAAGAAAATGGAATGTTGTAGAGTGGAGTGGAGCTGTTCCCCCTCCCCAAGATTGTTGTGGAAGACGCGCGACGGGGCAACAAAAGGTACATACATACATACAATCTATGGTCTATATTTTCTAGTTTCTCTGTTTTATATGGTGTCGTATAATTAACATTAGAATATCATTAATTTGATAGCCTTTTTGCGGGGCTTAGGTACATTTTGGGACATTTTTGTCTTTCTTTTTTCGTGGTAGGATTATTGGAATGTGTGCGAGAGTTAGCTGGGGGTGGGGGGGTGGTTGGGGGTTTGGACTTAGGCGTGCTGCTGTGGGATATAATAATACATAATCATAGAGAGAAGGTGATGACTACCTCGAGGCGCACTCCTGATTCAGCACGCCCTTCTCCAGCAGCGGAAAGCTGCGGAAATATGCCGCACGATTGGACAGAATCTCGCTGGGTGGCGTCACCTCGATGTCAATGCAATTGAGACGCTTCTCGAAGCCCTGCTGTGATTCCTGGCTGAGCACACAAGGCTCATAGCTGGTAGCGCAAATCATGTTCTCACCATGGCGGCGTCTACACCAAGTAAAAGGAGAGAAAACATTAAAAATGGAATACATTTCAGTTGTAACAGAAAAACCTCCTACCTCAAGAGCTTTACACGATGATCAAACAGTTGGAGCTGCTCATCCGGCAGCGATTCCCACATGGACAATATTTTGTTGTCAATCAGCGTGGCAAACATCTGAGATTCAAGGAAGCGTGACAAAAACGCACGATGGTGTTCCGGCTGATCCGAGAGGAACGAGGACTTGTCAAAGTTCTGCAACGTTTCGCGATTCGACAGCCACTCGTCCTTGACCTGATTCGGATAGATGACGAAATATTCGTACGCATGAAACATGTGCACAAAGCGATTGAGAAAGACCTCCCGCACAGAGTTATTGATGCGCAGATCCTGGTAGTATTGCTCCACGACCGAGAGTTTCGGTTTTTCGGTGCGTCTGGGCATGGGCATGGTGGCATCCACTGCATCCACATCCTGATAGACACCCACGGGGGAGGAGGAGAGCGAGACAGTGGGACTGCCCACCGGTGAACCTCCCTGAGAGCCTCTTATCCCGCCCTTGCGGCGCAGAAAGTCAGCAATTCGCGGCACATGATCGATCTTCGAGGGATGCGCCGTCAGCGGTTGATAGTCCACGGGTCCGCCGCCCGGTGATTGTCCAGGGCCGGACAGCGTGTAGACCGTTTCCTGCAGCTGCTGGAAGCGCTCCTTGCTGCGTCGTGCCGCCTGCAGGCCCGTGGGCAGCGTACAGCTCGAGATCATGGCATCGATGCCACCTGCTCCTCCCACTCCGCTGCCGCCACGCACCGCATAGCCATTCCTAAGACTTGGCTCCTGGTCGCGATCTCGCTCAATTTCGAATTTGTCCAGCACCGAGCTGATCTCCGCCATGAAGTCCTGCTTGTGGGGGAACACAGGTAACTCCTCCGGCAGCTGGATGTGCTTCTTGTCAATGTCCACAAAGCACAGAGCCGCCTCGCTGCCAATCTTATGCGCCGCCTCGCAACCGGCATGCAAACCCATCACAAACGGCACCGGAGCATCCAGGAAATGATGCAGTGCAGCGGGCAGAATGGGTGCATAAACATGCGGCCATACAAATGGAAAGAGCAGCGATGTTATGCACTCGCCCACAATCATGAGTCTTTGGTAGTCTAGAAAACAGAAATCAGTGAGGAATAAGGAAAAGGGGAAGCTTCTTCTTTTACCTGTGGAACGCAGCAGCACTTGGTTCTCCAGCAGCACACACGTCAGCAGCTGTATAACACACTCCACGCCCAGATACTTGAAGAGCAGACGCAGAGGAAAGTCGAGGAGCGGCAGTTCCGTGGCCAGCAACGGACGCTGCAGGATCAATGCAATGGCCGACAAATGCGGCTCTGTGGGTGGCAAATAAACGCGTATCGACTTGCCCGGCTGAGGTAGCATCACTTCATAGAGAATGTTATAGACATAGGACTCGAGACTGATGCCAGCACCAGGCTGACGTGGAAGACATCTGCAAAGAAAAGAAGATTAATTTGGGATTCCATTGAAAAATCTCCCGTGCGCGTACCTGTACAGATTCTTGAGAAATATCTGCGCTGCAAAGGCATAAGGAGCCTGACAAATGAGCGAAATGCTCTTGGCCACATACAACTTGTCCTTGTTGATGTCGTAGTAGCTTTGTGCGGACTGCGGTGCCTGTCCCGCCACCTTAAAGTGCCGCGGCAGGGAGCGACTCACAGGCCCATCCTGTTTGACGCGACTCAGCGAATGCGTCTGCTGGCCATTCGATAGCTCCGTAATGAACATGGATTGCAGCGTGTGAATGGCTCCACAGATATTCCGATTTCGTATCTCCTCGTAGAAGACCAAGCTGAAGCCATAGCATCGTTTGCCATCCTCTCTTGTGGTCGCAAACGAATGGAATCTCGGCTCAATGTTGTGTTTTTGGGTACGAAAACGCAGGCCCTGAGGCAACGAGAGCTACAGAGACACAGAGAAAAACGAATATTAGATAAGGCAATGTCTCAAAAGTTATAAATAAAATCCATTGATGGGGAGCGGTCGAGCGCTGGAGATTCCAATATGATGATAAGATGATTATATGGAGTGAGGTAAAAACGCGACGTATCGTCGTGGCCGTCTGCTGATGGCAATGTGGCATCAATTAAAAATGTTTCTGTCTCTGCTCCCTCACCCCACCACACGTATCAATGAGCACGCCGCCAGCGATGCATGAATTTCCATTGAAAGGGCAGCCAATTGAGCTCAATTGAAGTAAGGGAACCGGGGGAGACCGTGCCTTATGACTATGAAATATGAACAGCGGATTGGGTGTGTTTGTGGACCTACCATGCAGATCCCGTGCGCATCAAAGGGATTCCAGGCAACATGTTCGGGATAGTGGGCCAGGGGTTTGCTCTTGTATGCCCTATCCAGGGGGGAGCAATGCAGATTGTCCCCTAAAAAAAGAATGGAAAACTTTAGTCACTTTTCCATGGAATAACTCGGTATGGAGTCGCACCTGCAAAGCGATCTGGCTCTAGGCCCGTGTCCAGATCCAGTCCACATATCACAAAATAGTCGGCAAAGCGCGAAAACTGCGGATCAGCATCGCGCTTTAATTGATTCAACTCGGATAACTCGCCAGGCGACGTTGGTGATTGCACCATGGAGGCAGGCGTCTGGCTGTTGTTGGTGGTGGTGGTGGTGTTGCTGCTGATGCTCGTGGCATTGTTGAGCATCAATTTGGACAAGCGACTTGTAACGACATTGTCACGCGTCGTCATAGCTTCAGCTCCAAGCTCCTACAGCTCCAACCAGCGTCTTCGTTCGCTTGGACTAATGAGACTCCTACTCCGCCGCACGCACACATACATGCAGAGTTGTGTATGTAATACCGTTATGTACTCTGCAATTTTTTGTGCACTTTCCAATTTCCTACACCACCGTACACAACTGTGAGTCGATCAATTTTGTTTTGTATCTGCAATATATTATATTGTGTGTTACATATATTGTTATTATTTTTAGGTTTATTTTATTTTTACTTTCTACATGTGTGCGTGTTTGCTTGTGTTGTATGTGTATATGCAAAATTTTCGATGCCAATGGCACACACAGACAAGACAATTCGTTGTCTACGTTAACCAACACCAGCACAGGTAACACCAACACTCTACAACCACTTTGCGTTTGTTTTGGCTGTTAAGCTGGCTTTCTTTTCAAGCCTTCACATTTAGAACTGGGTCAAAAGCCACCAACAACAATTCTTGTGTTTGCCAAGAGCCACTAAAAACAACAGCTGCGTAAATAAAGTGCGTGTAAACCTGAATTTTTGGCGAAAAACAACAATTTGTGGACTGTTAAGTTAACAGTGACCACTAGAGGTGAAGAATCATCGATGACCAAATTTCGTATTTGCACATCTCTATGTAAATGCAAACATGTAACAAAATGTAGTTGTTGTGTAGAAACTGGGAACCTAACATGTAAGCAAACATGTAAATTAATATAAAATATATATAAATAAAAGAAAAGAAATCAAATCAATGAAAACACCATCCATAGGTGATTAGTTAGACGATAATGATGATAAAGAATTATAATAAATATGAATAATAACTTATGAATAATAATGTCGAAACCGTATTCTAGCCCCAATTATGTTGTAAAGATAGAAGAACTGCCCCCAAAGTACTCCGAGCTTATAATATATTCTTATGGTATAATGCTTATGCTTATTCTTATAATCCGCTTTCACTAATTGACAATGATATCAGTTAACATATGTACATGTGTCTGCTGTCAGGGGGGGGTGATTTGAATGAAAATTTCAAATACACATTTGTAAAATATAAGGTCATAAGGTATACAATCCAATAAAAAGGAGTATTGATAATAAGCAAAATTGATTCTTTAATCGGATTAAATAATTGTTTCAGTGGTGAAAGTCTAAGCAAGCTAGTAATATCAAATAGAACATCCAAATCGAGGAATCGGATTTAAGACTACGGTATATTTACGGTACATTTTGATGATGCAATGGTATATTTTGGTATATTTACGAGACCCTGACTGTATATTCGATCGATATTATCGATTTATTATATTATCGATATGTTTTATCGCGGTCACACTGGTCACACTGCACATAAGACATAACATTTTTTTTCGCATTTAATTGGAACGTAAATTGAAAATTGTGAATAATTTGAAGTTCAATCACCGAAATAGTTACTGTTGCAACACCAGGGCATGCAACTCATGCCTAACGACGCGTTTTCCATGCACGACAAGTGGTAAAATCGATATCTATATGTACGGAAAGTGAAAATCATATTTTAACGCGATCGACCAAACCACGAGACCACACTAGTTTTTCTGAGCGATGCATTCGCTTCACTGGACATCGCGTATGATATCGCGTGCCCTCCGTAGCAGCTTTTCCACACTCTTGGAGTCTGCCACCGGAGCAGGGGCGGCCAGCAAGGTTGGCGAAGGTGCTCTCAAGTCTGCCTCCCCGCGGCCACATTTCGTGTCTGTGGTCTGCGGATTCGCCAAGGACAACCTGCGTCACAAGTATAAGCCTGGAAAGTATGGAGAGGACTCCTGGTTCAAGGCATCCACAGAGCAGGCGGATGTGATGGGCGTGGCCGACGGCGTCGGCGGCTGGCGCAGCTACGGAATCGATCCGGGCGAGTTCTCCTCCTTCCTGATGCGCACATGCGAGCGCCTGGTGCAGTGCAGTCACTTCAACCCGCAACGACCCGTCAACCTGCTGGCATACAGCTACTGCGAGCTGATGGAGCAGAAGAAGCCCATTCTGGGCAGCAGCACTGCCTGCGTGTTAATCCTCAATCGGGAGACAAAAACGGTGCACACTGCCAATATCGGAGACAGTGGGTTCATGGTGGTGCGGCAGGGTGAGGTGGTGCACAAGTCTGAGGAGCAACAGCACTACTTCAATACGCCCTTCCAGCTATCCCTGCCCCCGCCCGGCCACGGCCCGAACGTACTGAGCGATAGCCCCGAATCGGCGGACACCATGAGTTTCCCTGTGGAGGATGGCGACGTTATACTCATCGCCACCGATGGCGTCTTTGACAATGTGCCGGAGGCCCTTCTGCTGGATGTGCTGCGCGATGTGGAGGGCGAACGGGATTCCGTCAAGCTACAGATGACGGCCAACACCCTGGCTCTGATGGCACGCACGCTGTCCCTCAACAGCGAGTTCCTCTCGCCCTTTGCCCTCAGCGCTCGTCGCAACAATATACAGGCGCGCGGAGGCAAGCCCGACGACATCACCGTCGTCCTGGCCACCGTGGCAATGTAAAACTCATAGTCGAGAGATGTTCCCTTAACGTCAATGTCCCCCCGCCAGCCCGTCAATGTCTCCAAAACTTAGTGATTAATGTTTAATCGTAGCCCGTACGTATTTAGTTAGCTTTTAGGAGTCTGTTTTATCGTGGTTCTGTCTAATGTTTAAGCTTAGTGTTGAGATATTTTGAATTAGAATAGAGACGAGACGTGAACGAGAACGAACGATGGCCATAACGACATCAACAACAACGACACGAACACTCCCCCCTCCACTTTCAATTGTTACATGCCCCCCATATGCCCCCCTCACACTCATACATACTAAACTAAAACTAAAATAACATTAAACCAAAACTAATCGTTGCGCATCCTGGAGAGCGAGCCAAACGCTGGATCTGAACCCCCTGACGCCCCCAATCAAAGCGAATGCAACGCCTTCATATGTATACATAACCCTCGCTATAAGTAGTAAAGAAAATCAAACAAAAACTGATTATAATAAATGCTAAATTATCAGCCCGAAATAATCTTTGTCGTCAGCGGACGCAGCAAGACGTAGGAGGTGGCGTTCTAATCAACAAATAAATTGCGAAACGAACCCGAGCCCGAACCCGAACCCGAACCCTGGAGGAGAAGGTGGAAGAGGAAAGGGCGATGCGATGAGGAGTCGAAGTGCATTATTATAGGTGTGTGAATTATTTGAACTGAGGATTATTACTATCCAGGCGAAAAATAACGACTGTCTTTAACAAAATTTACTGTCCGAATGTACTCACTGATATTTGCGACCCAATAAAATTATTCATTGAAATCAACAACCAATCAAAATGTGTTAATTTCTGGTCTAATTGTTTTGATTAAATTCATGGTCAAGCAACGTGTGTACCCCCTCCACAAGGGGTTCTTAAATTTATGCTCGCATAAACTATGAAGAGTGTCCATGCAACGTTGCCCAGCCCTACTCCAATAAACAGTAAACACATCGCAAGTAACAGAATCAAAATCAACGAAGACAATTAATGGAGTAAGAACGACAGCTACGATAAATATATTTATCTTATAATTAAACACTTAGTTTTTGCTAATTTGGCAACTGGTTCTGCTGTTTGTTCGTTCATGAATTCCCCTTTCGTATAAACAACAGCAGTTTGCCTTTCGACATTACACAGCACTAACATGCCAAAGAACAGGTGAAAACTAGCAAATCTTGTCTAGAATTGATTGATAATTCGGATAAGATTATAGTTTTGGCGCGGTGACTTATAACTAGATAGTAATGTCAAAAAGAACATCAAAATCGAGGAAAATTAATTATTTGCAGTATATTTAAAAAATGCTAGGGTATATTTTGGTATATTTTATCGATATTTCCGCGGTTACACTGAGCTCTAAACAAAACACGAAAGAAAGAAGATTTCAGAATGCGAATAAAACAATATTGCACTGTAAATTAAACATTTAATCGCGATTGCGTTTCGTTGCCCAACGCCGCATCAACAAAATGAAGCTCTACAAGCTGAATACACACACGCGTGGCTGCAACAAGTCGTACGGTAAGCAAACACACAAGGGAAAAGTGTGAGGCTCAAAATTGCGCAAACTTAACTGCTGTTGAATATTTTCATGCAGATGCGGACCTGGTGATGAACCTGAAGGACCATCCCAACGCAAATGTGGGCGATGTGGTGGAGATATATGTGCCAGACGACGAGAACGGCACGCATCTGCTGCTGCAGATCACAGAGTTCAGCGGCAGCTGTGGCCGCGATGTGATAAGCATCGAGTCGGGCATTGCCATTGCCTTTAAATGGCGGCCCTACTCGAATGTGGTGATGCGGATAGTGAATCCGGCAGATGTGGCCCTAGACTCTATAGAGATTACCTTTAAGGATCAGTACATGGGTCGCTCGGAGATGTGGCGCCTCAAAACTTATTTGGTAAGAAAAAAATGGTCACAATCCTTGGAAGATTCAAGATTTATGCCCTCGGCCCTTTTAGACGGACACCTGTGTGTATGTGAACAAGAAGATTGACTACAACGACATGCAGATACGCTGCCAGGTGTATGAAATGTGGTCACAGGGCGAACGTGTGGCCAGCGGCGTCATCACCGAGGACACAAAGATCGTCTTCCGCAGCAGCACTTCCATGGTGTACCTGTTCCTGCAGATGTCCTCGGAAATGTGGGACTTTGACATCCACGGGGACTTGTACTTCGAGAAGGCAGTGAATGGCTTCCTCACCGAACTCTTTCAGAAGTGGAAAAAGTTGAGCTGCAATCACGAGGTGACCATCGTGCTGTTCTCGCGCACCTTCTATGCGGCCAAGAGTCTGGATGAGTTCCCCGAGCACATGCGCGACTGCCTGCAGCTGGACTACAAGGGTCGCTTCTACGAGGATTTCTATCGAGTGGCGATTCAGAACGAGCGCAACGACGACTGGTGCACGGTGCTGGGGCAGCTGCGCAAGCTCTTCACCTCCTACCAGGAAACGGTGCTGCGCTATCACGAGCGCCAGCACATGAAGATTCCCCCGGCCACAAACTCCACGGCCACGCAGGGCAATTTCCTGGAGGTGCTCAACATTTCGTTGAATACCTTCGAAAAGCATTATCTGGATCGCACCTTCGATCGCACCGGACAGCTCTCGGTGGTGATTACGCCCGGCGTGGGTGTCTTCTCGGTGGACAGGGAGTTGACAAACATCACCAAGCAGCGCATCATCGACAATGGCGTGGGCAGCGATCTGGTGTGCGTGGGCGAACAGCCGCTGCACGCTGTGCCGCTGTTGAAGTTCCACAACAAGGACACCACGCTGACCTCTGCCGATGATTACTCCCTGCCACATTGGATCAACCTGAGCTTCTATTCCACCAACAAGAAGATTGCATACTCCAGTTTTATACCGCGCATCAAGCTGCCGCTTTTCGTCTCCGATCAGTCGCTGAACGCGGACGAGGGAGAGGAGAATGAGCGGAATTTCCTTAGCTGCAAACAGTCGGAGTACAAGCACAACTCTCTCTTCGATTATGATGCGTACGATGAGCAGATATTTCAGC